AATACAGTTATATGATTAATTGATCTTTTGAAATGGTAAAGTGTAACAGACACATAATCAGTTCTGTAAGGGTCAGCAGCACTTTGGTATTCCTTGTCAGATCCTTCCCAAGCAGAGAGATTGTTCGCTCAAATTGTCATATAGCCAGAACCTCGAGCATTTAAATCCTTTTACATATTTTAATACTTCTTAACCGTTGACCTAAAATTTGCTTAATAAAGGTCTCTTAGTCTATCCGCTTCTCTGACTTCAGACTCAACAGTGGGTTGTAACTTGGGGGAAAAGAGAGGGCAAAAATGGATCTGATCTCTCTTTAAAAATTTCTGATACCAACGTATGTACATATAAAGGTTTGAATCTTTTTCCTGTCATTCGTGGTCCCAGCTTAAACGTACTTTTATTTCCTGAATTTTATGAACTTCTAAACCGTGAGGGTTGGCGCTCTGAAAAACTTCTGTAGCCTGCTTTGTTAAGAGTAGGTAACTCTGTTTTCTTTCCACCTAGGTTGGATCAGATGTTTTCAGATGCTTTTAGCAGAGATCATCAACTAATTCAAGCAGATCCAAAGCACAGCCTCTACCTTGCCTGCGCACTACTCGTTCGCGGGAACGTGCAGGTTTCGGACCTGCGCAGAAATATTGAAAGGTTTGTAGTTTCACACCGAGTAGTCGTGGTATTTGTAATTGAAACTGCTGTCAGTTGTCCAGAGCACTCTCACTGTTCATTTGAAGAATTCCAATACCAAATCAGTTTACTGAGAAATATTTTTCTTAATTTCAGAAGGGAAGAAAATAATGTACTTAGAATAAGTCACAGCATTCTTGGATTTCCGAATAAAGGGAGCTGAATAGATGTCCCTGTGCTCTTCCCATTCTCAAAAATTAAAAAAAAAAAAAAAAAAGAAAAACCCAACCTTCCAGAGGTCTCCTGCCAGTAAGGGATGTTGGAGGAACAGGTTCCATAGTATTTTTCTGAACAGGAGCCCTCTCTTTCATGATTACTGCTGTGTAGATAACGAATCATTCTTATTTTAACAACTCTGTTGTTAGCACTGTTTTCTACCTTTCACGCTGATGATGTACGTGGTTACAGCAGGAAATGCAGGCGAGCGTCACATACAGAATGGATTTTACAGGCAGACAGGAGCATGTAGAGAAAATTTCTGAGAATGAAAAGCATTTTGCTTCTAAACTGTAGGTATACTGATTGTCCCTGCACAGTATTAATCTGACCCTCTTCTAAATCTCAGAGGGCTTGCAGTCCCTTTTGTAGAAATAGGTGCTTGTGACTTTTCAAACCCTGATATATTAAATTCACAAACCAAAATTGGTATTTGAAGTTTTAAATTTAAAACAGACACATGGTTTCAGAATGAAGTCTAAAATGTCTTATTTATAATACTAGTTGTAATTTTCATAGTCCTGAAAGCATGTTATCCTTTTCAGAGTGTTTGTTAGCTAAGGAAATTTAGGCGTTGTGTTCTTTACTTTCCCTAGGTAACTGTAAATTGTTGTATCACAGGTTGAAGCCTTCTCTGCACTTTGTCTCCTGGAATCAAGAGGGCTGGAAAACTGGCTTGTGTTCGGTACCTCCTGTGGGCCATTCCCATTCCCTTCTGGCTTTAGCAAACAACACCTGTGTGAAACCAACTTTTATTGAACTTAAACACAGATTTATGAAGCTCTACAAGAAAAAGGTACAACTCTGTCGTCACTGTAACATCCATAGCTGCTAATCAGCAGCATCTTGCGTCACTGGGGAACATAATATCACAAAGGGACTGCTTCATAGTAACAGCCCAAGACCTTTGTTGCCTATCAAGGAATCATTCTAAGAGCTGCTTCTTAAAAAGGGTAAACCCCTTATTAACCTGTACCTACCAGGCAGCAGGTAGGTGCTTCAGCAATGAGGCAGTGTCTGACAGAGCTGCCTACCAGTCTGGGGTGGGTTGACCTTGGCTGGCTGCCAGGTGCCCACCGAGCTGCACTCACTCCCCCTCCTCAGCGGGACCAGGGAAGAAAATAAGCTCATGGGTCAAGGTAAGGACAGGGAGATTACTCACCAATTATCATCATGGACAAAACAGGCTTGGCTTGAGGAATATTAATTTATTGCCAATTAATAACAGAGTAGGATAGCAAGAAATGAAACAAAAACTTAAAAACACCTTCCCCCTACCCCCTTCTTCACAGGCTGAGTTTCACTCCTAACTCTTATCTCCTCCCCACCCTGAGCAGCCCAGGGGGATGGGAAACGGGGGGTGTGATCAGTTCATAACACTTCATCTCTTGCTGCTCCTTCTTTCTCACACTCTTCTCCAGCGTGGGGTCCCTCCCGTGGGGTGCAGTCCTTCAGGAGCAGCCTGCTACAGCCTGGGTTCCTCACAGGTCCTGCCAGAAAACCTGTTCCTGCCTGGGCTCCTCTCCACAGGCTGCAGCTCTGAACCCTCCATGGGCCACAGCTTGCTTCAGGGCACATCCACCTGTTGCAGCGTGGGGTCTTCCACGGGCTGCCGAGTAGATCTCTGCTCCACTGTGGTCCTCCATGGCCTGCAGGAAGCCAACCTTATTCACCATGGCCTTCTCCACAGGCTGCAGGGGAATCTCTGCTCCAGGGCCTGGAGCACCTCCTCCCCCTCCTTGCCCCTGACCTTAGGGTCTTCAGGGGTGCTTCTCTTCCATTTTTCTCACTCGCTGTTACACAGCATTTTTTTCCCCTTAAATATGTTATCACAGAGGTGCTACCAACATCACTGATGGGCTCAGCTTGGCCCAGCAGCAGGTCCGTCTTGGGGCTGGCTGGCACTGTCTCCATCTGACACGGGGGCAGCTCCTGGTGTCTTCTGACAAAACCCACCCTTGCAATGCCTCCCCCCACCTCCCAACCTTGCCACGTAAACCCAGCACACAGTTTGGTCAGGTGTACCCAGGAAGGCAGGATATATGATATAAAAAGATGGATGTCTAAACTAGTAATGTCAGCTGTGATTGCACAGGGCATTGCTACTGAAGGTGCTAGGTAATTTAAGCAAGGGAAGTCATGATACAAGTCTTTAAATCCACTTTCTACAGTGCTTGCGCTCCCCTCTTTAGTGCAGGCTAAGAGACAGTTACTGAGCCAAAGGCATGAGGCGCCAAGAAAAAGGCTAACACTGAACTTGTTCTTCTCGTAGGCTCACCTTCACCATTACCTCCACATAGACGGGATGGAGCAAAGCTGTTTTTCTGAAGCCATATCATCCTTGTCTGACCTCATAGAAGAGTACAATGAACTGGATGCCACAAAAGGCGGGCCTAGGACCGATCCACCAAGACTGAAGATAGCCGTTTAAAGGAAGAAGAACTGATTTTTTTTTTTTAATAAACAAAATAATTCCCCAATCAGTCAGCCACTTGGGTTAAGCAGAATGAAGTGTGGAGTGCCTAGCCATTGTCATTCCAAAGTGAGACTGTGACAAGGGCTTCCTCAGCTCTCCGAGAGGTGTCATATTAAGTGACAGGCCTAGCCTGTAAGAAAGATGTGAAGGCACCTAATTATGGTGGGTATCGGCAAGAGCAGTCTTCCTAACTGTAAATTGACATACCATATGCTAGAAAGAGAGGTGATAGCAGCCAAAAATGTAGTTCTTTTTTCAGTTTAGGGTAAACTGAAGGCAGGCCTTGCTTCAAAGAAGGATCATTGTTGCTAGAGATGTCTTTTAACAAGCAACTATGAGAAGAAAATCCCACATAAACTTTTCAGGGGTGAAAGTGAGTCTCTTATGAAACTGGTTTCGTAAACTTTGCAGGATAGTCATCATTTCAGAATGCTCTAAGCTATGTTCATAGCCTGTACACTTTTGCTTCCCTGTTACACTTAACCATACTGGAGCATTCTGAGATGATACCAAAATTGCCAATATCAGAAAATTCGACCAAATAATATTAATTAATACTCCAAGTATAATACTTGAAACAAAATGTAATGATTCATATTCCTGAATGCTGAGTTGCACTTGATAATGAGATAGTCCGATATACCTCTGAGCAAAACATGCACTTACAGTGAAGTTATAAGGAGTGTTTGGAGAACAAAGTTTTATATGCTGAAAAGAATTCAAGTAAAATAGATGCTCTCATATTTATAATTACTGGGGTAGGCAGATTTTTATATTACAGCAAGAACTTTGACAAAATTGAATGTACAACTTTTTCCAGTTGTTTGCCAGTCTTGGCTGTCGCGGAGCAGCGAGACTAGTGAGCTGTTAGAGAGCGGAATGGGTCAGTACAGTGACTTCTGGAAACTCGAAGTCCTTCTTGCAGAGCTGGAGCGGGTGTGTAAGTCCAGAAGTATTCAATAAAACATTGCTCTCAAGAAATGTTACCACTTTTTTTTTTTCAAGAAAACATTCTGAAAATAGTAATCTCCTTGAAGCTTTGCAGTTCTGCTATCTGCAAGGTGTCCCCTTATTTGTTCCTTTACAAGTGCATTGTTTATATTCACGACACTAGGGAAAACTATCTGCTGCAAAAAGCAATCTGAGCTGAAAATTGACTTCTCCGGTTTGAAACGGCATTGATGTGTTGTTTTACTATTGCAGATGCAGAGTAGAAAATGTTAATTTGAGAATCAAGAATGATAGGTGAGGTATTACAGGGTACTTTTTTTTTTTCTACTAGGATAGAGCATTTATGAATTTACATGTATTTGAGTTTGTGGGCAATAAGTTCTTACAGTGGGGTAAAAAGCTGTCTTGCTGTGCCTTTTTTAATTACTGAAAGTTCTGTGTTTGACAGTGGTGGTGTTACAGACATACTTCTCAAGCCGGTATTTTCATATACAAACAATTAAGTTTAAAAAGATACACTCTTACTTGCCTTTCCCACGTGCTGTTTAAAAAAGCTGAATACTCACATACATCGTTTCACTATAAGCATTGCTGTGGCGGGGGAGTTACACTAACTTTGGGGGGTGAATGTGCTGTTGCACCCGCCGCGCGTTACAGTCAGCAGAGTAACTTGTCATAAAACTTTGAGTTCAGAAAACATGTCTCCTGGAGCGCTGCAGGTCCTCTGACACACGCACGATGTTATCCACATCATCTTCCACTTAAAGGAGCCTTCGCTGGGACACTCGAACTGCACGGTGATCATTCTGGACCTGTTCGGTATGCAGCACCTCTTGTCCATGCACACCCCGCAGAAAGTCAGTTGGTAGCTTCGGGTTGTTGAGCATCCGGAAAAAACTAGTTTTTCTGCTGTAGGGAGCTGGAATGTTGGTTGACATGTTTTTCCTTTTGGAATCTTTAATGTAAAAACAAAGAAAAGCTGGAGTTTATACACTGTAAAAACAGAACGTGTTAAGAAAAAATTGCAACGTTTACATAGAAATAGCTTGAACATTGCTCCTTCTGGAAGCCGTCTCATTTTGCCTTAGCAGCCAACAAATAGAAGAGGTTTTCTGAGTGACTGAATGCCAGGACAGCACTAGCAGTGCTTGTAGTTCAGGACATGATATTGTTTTGTTTGAAATTACAGATCTGTAGTTGACTACTGAAACCTGAAGACTGGCAGTCAAAAACAAGAGTTATTTCAAAACCCTTAAAAGGAAAAAAAAAAAAAAGAGGAAGAACTCATTTTATATTTGCAGTTGCTAATACATCCATTTTTCCATTACTTCCAGTATTTTCATTTGCCTTGGGGCCTGCAGGGAAGTTGGGGGGGACTTTTTACAAGGGCCTGTAGTGACAGGACAAGGGGTAACGGGATTAAATTGAAAGTGGGGAGGTTTAGATTGGATATCAGGAAAAAAATCTTCCCAGAGAGAGTGGTGAGGCACTGGAACAGGTTGCCCAGAGAAGCTGTGGATGCCCCATCCCTGGAAGTGTTCAAGGCCAGGCTGGATGAGGCTTTGAGCAACCTGGTCTAGTGGAAGGTGTCCCTGCCCATGGCAGGGGGGTTGGAACTGGATGGTCTTTAAGGTCCCTTCCAACCCAAACCATTCTGTGATTCTGTGATTAAGAAGCCATTTGATAATAGTACCTTTATTGTCTTCAGTATGTTGGTCAGGCAAGGCTGGATGAAGCACAATCTCTTTTCTTTTTTCAGCTCACATTTTCTATTTTCGCTGGTCACTCTGCTGGATATTCCTATCCCACAAGTCTTAGAACAGGGTGTCCAGGGAGTCGCCTGTACTAGGCACTTTTTCTTCAAAACTAGGGGTAAGCTTCTGTAAGCTAAGACAGAAATATGTTATTTCTGCAGCAGAACAGCCCCCAAATGAATAATTGAAAACAAAAGGAATAAGCGTTTGATTTCTGTTGATGAAGGTGCTTTTGCAGTTAAATCTACAAATGAGACATAAACAAAGTTATACAGAAGTCTTGGGGCTGAGCTGCCGTTAAAGTTTACTGACAGTGGGTGCCGAGAACCTAGCAAGGACTATGAAACTGCATCTCTTATCTGACCCTCCAGTTTAATGGGATGAAAATGTTATGTGAAGAGGGTTAGTTGTGGAATTTTTATGAAATGTCCAGAATGGAAGAGACACTGAAAACGATTTAAGGCCAAGCATAGCTTCAAGAGATGTGCTGAAAATGTGAATGTGGGTTTCTCTGTAGGTATTGTGAAGGCTTCAGCGTTGCTTTTTGAGAAGTAAAATTCTCTGGTCACTTCTAGATACCACCAAAAACCAGGCTTTTTGGTGGATTAGGGCTGGATTAAGTGGACTGCACTTAAAAAAAAAGAAACAAAATTACAGTCCAAAAGTTAACTGGTTGTTTATACTTGGTTTGTTTTTAAAATATGACCCAGGTTCATCCCCATGTATCCAAATTTAGTAACTAGAATTGACAAGGCAAGCCAGAAAACAAAGCAAGCACAGGGGAATGGAACTTAGGACTTGTTATCCATGCTAACAGTAAAAGGACTTTTCCAAATCGGTATTGGCCCGTTGAGGCATTCGTGGAATTCCCGCACAAGCTGATGTGATACTTTACTTCTGCTGCGCTGGAAGAGGGAAGGGGGAAGACCTCGCTTGGAAACAAAGCTTTCCAGGTGCTTTTCTTCCAAGGGGTTGGTGTCACCGGAAGAATAGCATCCTTCAGCACGTACAGCCACTGCGGGGACAGGCTGTTGGATCCCTGAACCGTCTCAAAGAGGCGGTGCGCTTACGGTTTCCTCAAGGAAATGTTGTGCAGTTGATTCCAGTTCCTGAGTAAGCGCAGTGGTGCGGGCTACTCGCGGAAGGAGTTTCTGAAGGTTGGACTTTTCGATCCACTGATGTGCTACAAAGTAAATGGCTCAACGCTGGTATCTCTCCAGGTATCTGAAATACCATAATTTTCCCGTAATTCAGGTTGCTCTCAAAGAAGCGGCGCAGCTTTCTGGTAGCCACATTCGTTGTATCGAAGACGAGTGGCACGGGGGACGGAGATGGCACAAGCGCAGGTGGCTGTGGCCAGGGAAGGGCAAGGATAGCTGCTGCTGGCAATCGTGCTTCCTTCTAGTGAACTACAGTGTTAGGAGCAGAGGAGGGATGAGGTTAAATAGACTGTCGCTGACCCTGGCAGACCTGGTGTGTGACGGTTACGTGATTTTGATCAGACAAGTGGGGAGGAGGGTTGTCCTTGCAGTGATCTGAGATTCTGTGAATTGATTTAAACCTGCCTGGCAGCCTTGATTTTTCTGCTTTCTATTGAAAGAACAGGGCTGCAACATGTTGATGTGTTTGTGTGAAAACCGAGTCTCCCCACCACCACAGACTGAGACAGAGAGACCGCTCCCAGGCTGCGGGATGGCTCTCCACCAGCAGCCCGAATTGCTCTGGCCTGGGGCGTAGCCCACCTCTGCAGAAAGACGGGTTGAAGGTGGCTTTGGCCAATTCCCTGGCGACAGGAGCCAAAAGGCTTTTTGCTTTCCATATTCATCGGGTTTAGAGAAAAGAGCCTGTGACCTACGATTAAGAGGGGTAATTAGGACAGACCAGTCCCCTTGGCAGTGGCCTTGGGCAAGAGCTGAGAATTTGCCAGCGCGCTGCCTGCCTGACTGCTGGAGCCAGGGATGCCAAGTGCACCGAGGCTGGTGTACACGGAGTTTACCGACGGAGCCAGGCCCACCTGACATCAGCCTGTAGTTTGTTGATTGAAGCTGCTTGTGCTGTCCAGGCCCACAGATGGATTGTCCAGCCTTCCTTCTGCCCGTCACCCTGGCACAGGGACTTGCTGCTGATTTCGGTGTGAATACGGGGGTACATCCAATCGCACCGCTGACGCACAGGCACTTGTAAAGCGGGTTAGGCTGGAAGGTCTGCCCGTTAGGATAATAAACTCCATTGAGCTCACATCCTACAGCTATCAGATCTGGGAATGGTGAACAACAGTTACTTACACAGGAGGAGCACGTGGCTCCTGCTCACAGGGCGCTAAAATGCAACCAGCATTTACTGCACCCACAGTTCTTCCCAGCCCAAGCACACCTGGTTTTATTTATACCCAATTAACTACTATCTGACTTTAAGTCACTCATCAACGCGTCTGCAATTAACAGCCTTGTGCACAGTGAACTGGTTTAAACATAGCCCCTGCCCTGGGATTCTCTGCCTGAGCAAAGTCTGAATCGGTACAAATGGCCCAGCACGGAGCTGCGGCACCAGCAAGCAGAGCTTTCCTCCGAAACCACCCTCCCCGTTTCCCGGAAGGTAAGGTGAAAGGCCGACTTACGTGCGCACACGCCTGTTTCGTACCTAGGCTCGTCTGCCGAGTAGTCGCAGTAGAGGCCTTTGTGGGGGTCGCAGACGTCTGCTTCGTTGCAGGTCTCTCCCGGCTGCCTGGCGCACACCGCGCAGCAGCCGCAGCCGTCCCTCGCCAGGCTCACCCCGGGGCTGCAGGTTGGTGCCGGCGGGCATCTGCATGGCCAGTGGCAGAGCTCCTTACGCTGGTGGGCTGCGCTGCTTTCCGCAGGTTTTTCTCCAGGCTTCCGTGGTGGGCTGTGGGAAAACTTACACGCAGTGGGATATTTTGGGAGTTGAATGCGTTACGAGTAGCTGGGATAGCATGAAACGAAGGTGGGATAGAGAAAAGCTGTGAAGTTTTATGAAGGCACTTAACGTTCCTCATCTTACAGAATCCAAAAAGCGAGGTGCCTTGAGGTTTAGGTAGGAGACAGAGGACCGATTTCATCCATCACGCACTGGGGTGTGGTACGACCAGTGAGCAGGGCCTACTGCCCCTATGAAACATAATTCAGGGGTCTCTCCTTTCCTTAATAGAACAGAACCAGTAGTAGAGCTCCAGTAGGGAAAAAAAAAAAAACAACCCTGTTTTATTGTAGATGGTGGATTAATGATGGTGGACCCACAAACTTCCTAGCAATTAATCGACTGCTGATTCCTCCTGCTGTTTGATAGCCAGGCACCGCCCTGCGTGCCACTTCTGCTGGCCAAAGCTCTTTAAAACAGTAAACCTCTTTTGAGTGTTTGTTTTGAGCCAAAACTTGAGTAGCTGTTTGGGAAGGAGCTCTTACAAATTCTCTTGATCTAGCTGCAAAAATTAAACCCTAATAAGGCAGGCTACTCATTGCACTGAGCTCCACAGGTCGTGTTCTACGAGTTAATCTCTGTGCGTAAGTGTTCCTTGAACCCAGGGCATACAGGACAAAGAGGTACCTCTAAGAGAGATTTGTAGCAGCAGCAGAAGTCAAGATCAAGCCAGAATTTGCTGTTTTCCACATCCTGTCTCAGACTTCATGCCTTTCTTTTCTTTTTACTTTCTTTTTTTTTTTTTTAAAGAAAGTCCTGAGCAACTCTTGATGAGTTTATTTTTCTGAGGCACGGGGGAAGATGAAGTCAGCACAGAGCGTGAAAGGATCTATTTGAGACAGCTGCATTCTAGCTGCTTTTCTGAAGAACTGCAGCTAAAACGTGGCAGTTTGGATCTCAGCATTAAACCTTCTCATGCTGCTGATGTCAGCAGAAATGCAGCTTCGTGGTATAGTTCTTCATCACGGATGACTGGATCCATAGTTAAGTGGGGGCACAGCCAGTGCTTGGCCACCAGTACGACGTAAGGCTCGGGAGCCGCTCTCATGGAGCGGCTCTGCCCAAAGAGCAGAAGGGAAGGACAGGGCCCAGCCCCCCCTCAGGTGTCAGTGCCACCATCTAGCTTGCAGGAAAGAAAAAAAAAAAACTTAGCCTGGATTTTCTCTAGGCACATGAACCGGTTTCTCTCTTCTTCCCAACTGCAAGGCTCTGCTGATGTAGAAACAACCATCAGTAGGGATGCTGAGGAGAGCTGGGAAGGGGTTATTCTGCTGGCTTTCCTCTCAGTTCAGCTTTCCAGCTGGGAGTATCTGCAGAATTCAGCAGTTCGTACGGCGTATCTCATGAAAGCTCTTGCAGCCTAATTGAGCTGGCCTAATCGTGTGCAGCAGTAAATGACCTTTTAAAAGGCTTTTTTCTACCACTAATTTCCATTTTTCATGGTCATTTACAACTATACTTAACGATATCTTAATCCACAGCTATTAGTGAAGCTCCAGAGCAATAGCTTTCAAGTTCCTTGGGCTGAATGATTTTTAAGATACATATTAATGCACAGAGGCAATTCGTATAGTAAATGAATATTAAACATTGTCATGTGGTGTTCCACGCAGCGTTCTGCAGATAGTTTCATAAATATGTCATTTAATAATTCACTGATAAAGGCTTTTTTCTAATCCTTTTTACCTAAGTGCAGCAATAATATAGAAATGCCTAACTTAAGCCTTCTTGGTTTTTAGGCAGCTAGGCTTTTACTATAAACCATAGTGTGAATTCGATGAACGCGAGCATTGCAGCTTCCTAAAGGCTTGCGCTGGAAGCATGACACACAGGGGTTGCCATACATTTAGAAGTGTTTAAGACTTTATGGTTGCTTTAGGAAACTCACTCACTTGCTGCTTTATTTTTTTCTTTTTTAAGCAGAGTACTATTATTAGGAATTTGGCCATGTGCCAGCTGTATGAGGTTATGTGGTTTGCATCAGATATCGTGTTTCAAATGGGTATGTGTAGCAGGAAGCAATCTGTGTGCTTCAACCAGTATGTTTAATATGTGTTACAAATTGAAACGTGCTTTAAACTACAGAATTCTACCTAAACAAGTGATTTCTCTATGCTTTTTCTTTTTTCAGGGAAAGATGTCAACTGAAAGGTGTGAGATGGCAAAGTTTCCCAGTAAGAAAAACACCATCAGGCAAACATGTGACAGTTTTAACTGTGGAATGACTGAGAAGCTCAGTCTACGTAAAAAAAAATCTTCAAAAGTCTATGAAGTTACAATGAAAATTTAAAGTTTGCTTATAAAGTTTACAGACCACATATTTTCTAATTCTTGCTTCCCAAAATTTCTATACCAGAGCTGTCCACATCGCACAAGCCCACTGCATGCTTTTCCTGGTTCTATGGGCAGATGAGAAAACGAGGCCATTGTGTAGGAACCCTTCATGTGCTGTTTGTTTTCTTATGTTTTAAAGACTGAGCAAGGTCTGTGTGGCATAAATAAGCAAATAGCAGAAGTAGGCGATGGATTGCTGCTGATGTTCAGTTATCTTAGTCTGCCTTTAAATATGCAGATAGTTAGCAGAGGGAGGCAGTCATTTGAAAATTCTCCATGTGACGTTCATCTTGGTCATAAAGGAAAAATACCCTGTGTACACCTGAAGTGGATTTTCAAAATTAAGCAAATAAATAATGAAATTGTCCTTTGACACAAACATCTTCAACAAAAGATACCACATAAAACTTTCTCATAAAGAGACAAAGCATGGCACAGCCCAGGTGCCTTTCTTATTTGTAAAACTAGCTTGAAGTCAGACCGCTGTGTATAACAT